CAAAGGAGAAATGGTCACTCACAGGGATGTAAACACATTTGTGCGCAACATAGGAGAGAAATAAGCTTCTTGTGGGTATGGAACATTTCTGGGATCTTTTATTTCAGCTCATGAAACATGGGACCAACACTTTACATGTTGCGTTTATATTTTTGTTCAGTATAGATTCAGCCACGGACCGATTTTATCTGGAGCGGATGGTTGGGGGGCCTGAACATAATACAAAACATTTGTATAATGCAAATTGACCGCAAGAAGCCCAAACAGATATAATGACTAAAACATAATAATTTCAAACCTTGCTTACATTTGTATACTATCATGTGTGTCTCTCTATTATGCGTTGGAATACTTGAGAACAGATTTCTTAAATTAAATTCACTTGGAGCTGATTTGCTGGTGTTTTTACAGTCTTTTATGTCCAACAATGAAAATCCCACACCAAAAGGAAATTATTATTATTTATGTATCTATTGCTCAGAAAACTTGGGATGCCAATTAAAACCGCCTGCGGGCCGCCAGTTGGGGAACCCTGGAGTAATGCATTGACCATTGTTGAGAGTGAGAGAGCATATTGTGGCATCTGCTTGTCTCTGCTCACTAATCCAGTCCAGTGAGTCCGCACCAGGCACGCACGCCATCGCGCGCATGTTGATTTTGTCCACCCACACCAGACGCGATCAGGACACGCAGGTTGAAATATCAAAACGAACTCTGAACCAACTATATTAACTTCGGGACAGGTCGAAAACCATGAAACATGTATGGCAATTTAGCTAGCTAGCTTGCTGTTGCTAGCTAATTTGTCCTGGGATATAAACATTGGGTTGTTATTTATCTGAAACGCACAAGGTCCTCTACTCGGACAATTAATCCACATATTAAAGGGTGAACATAGTGAGTTTCTAGTTCTCTCCTCCGTCAGGCTTCTTCTTCTTCTTCTTTGGACGTTATGTGGCAGTTGGCAACTAACCTTAAGGTGCATTACCATCACCAACTGGACTGGAGTGTGGACCTCTGTTCATCTTTCGATCCCCCACGTGGGTATATGCTCCTAAAAACCAATGAGGAGATGGGAGAGGCGGGACTTGCAGCGCGTCGAGCGTCACAAATAGAACCAAGTTCTATTTTAGCGCCTGGCTACACAGACTCTCGTTGCCGTGCGCGAGCAGTGTGGGTGCAGTGATTGAATAACATGTATCTGTACATTTATTTTGCAACGCTCGCGTACGCAACGCGGTCGGTCTGGTCAGCATGTCACACATTCATTTATCAACGTTGCAGCTGACACTGTCTTGTTTCTGTCAAGCAACCTGCATTCTAGAAACGAGAAGCGTGCAACTGCAGCCAGTAATTCGGGGTGTTCTGCAGTAACCCGTCTTTATAGATCTAATGGTCAATTTTTAAGCTATGACTCCAGTACATAGGCGGGAGGCAACGGGCGCCTTGTTCCTGTCATGCATGTTGGTTTGTTTTGCACGGAACATGGAAGCAGATGATGACCTTTCTTCATTTAGGCAGGGGCGGTGTGTTCATTAGGGCGATATGGGCGACGCACTGCCAAACGGGAAAAGGAAGGGATTTTTTTTCTAATCAATTATATCACGGCAACAGTAGTTTTCAGTGTTCTAATCTAGACGTCTGATCTGCCACTAAATGTCCAATCAGGCTAAAGTCGTGCTTCAAATGTCCCCGCCCGTTTTGGGGCGATTTCAGTCAGGTTGAAAATCGCCCCAGAAGTCTCTCAGACTCTCATGTAAAATCTTTTTTTTTTCAAATATCAGAGCTTTCAATACAATCTCTATGGGTTCCGGGAGGGCTTGCACTTACGCGCTTTTGTCATACGTAACATAACCATGAACATAACTAAGAAAAGAGCGGGTAGCAGCGTCAATCAATTCACGTACTACTGTCAAGATTGCTAGCGTTCAGTGCAACTCGATTGTCTCTTTGAAAGAAGTTCATTTTTGTCTGCGAACAAATCAAGATAAATTGGCAACGAAACAATTAGGACCTCCCAGACCAAATTTAATAATTCAACAGGTTTCTACTAAAGGGGGAAAGTCCTACACCCGAGGATTTTCCAAAAATTGGTACGAACGAAAAACCTGGCTAGCAGGCTGCGATGTAGCTAATGCAGTCTTCTGCTACCCCTGCTTACTCTTTCACCCTGAAGGCGGCACGGCAGACAGCACCGCTTGGACAGCGACTGGTGTAACGGACATGCACCATCTTTCAGAAAAGATTAAGAAACATGAGCTGTCAAAGACCCACATGGATAGCTGTTTGAGATTGTCTGCTTTGGGGAGAGTGAACATTGCCACTCAACTGGATGAGGGATACAGGCTAGCTGTCCGCCGCCACAACGATGAGGTTAGCAAGAACCGCCACATCCTCAGCCGGCTAATCCAGTGTGTGAAGTTTTGCGGAGTGTTTGAGTTAGCTTTGCGAGGCAAAGATGAAACTGAGGGCTCCACCAACCCTGGTATTTTTCTTGGACTTGTCAACTTTGTGGCACAATTAGATGAGGTGTTTGATGACCATCTTAAAAATGCTAAAGTTTTCAAGGGCACATCAAAGACCATTCAAAACGAGCTACTGGAGTGTATGCTAGCGGTCATGACGGAACATATTGTGGAGGAGGTGAAGTCGGCGAACTTCGTAGCTATCCAAGCTGACGAGACCACGGACGTTTCTACACAGACACAGCTGGTGCTTGTGCTGAGGTACATAGATAGCAAGAAGATAAAAAAATTTTCCTGGGGCTTTTTCACAAAATCATGCCCCACGTCGACATTCTGTACCAGAAGCTACAGAAGAAGGACATCGATGCTGTCTTCATCAAACGTGCCCTCGACAGCTTCACAAGCAGTGTGCAGGCCATAAGGTAAGATTAAACAATATCATTCGATCTTTCTCAAAACAGAGCTTTATTTGAAAATGTATGCATGAAAGGAGACATCATCATATTTACAAATCTATACAATTGGCCAGAATATGGTTGTTCATTTTTACAAAGCCATACAGATAGCTGTGTTTACCTTTTCTAGAAATTATTTTCAAATTCTGTTTTCAGGCAAAATGTCTATCACTGTTCATTTTCACAAATCTATACAAGAGGGCAGAATATGGAAGTCTATAAAAATGTCTTATTACCAATAACTTACATCAATGTTTTCAGTAGCCTCTATCAAAAGCTCCTGCTTGCTTGTTGTGAATTATGCTCAGGTGCACATATTTCCAATTCAACCATGAGGCCTTTTTGAAGCAAGTAATGTGTATATCAGTATTGACTTATATGCTGCCCCTGTCTTCATGTTGTTGCTGGACATATCTTTTTTAAAATGTGTGTAGGTCACCTAAATCATCAGAAAAATTGCCCCCCCTGAGAATTTTTTCAGGAGCCGCCACTGCATTTACAGTGGGGAAAAAAAGTATTTAGTCAGCCACCAATTGTGTAAGTTCTCCCACTTAAAAAGATGAGAGAGGCCTGTAATTTTCATCATAGGTACACGTCAACTATGACAGACAAATTGAGATTTTTTTTCTCCAGAAAATCACATTGTAGGATTTTTTATGAATTTATTTGCAAATTATGGTGGAAAATAAGTATTTGGTCACCTACAAACAAGCAAGATTTCTGGCTCTCACAGACCTGTAACTTCTTCTTTAAGAGGCTCCTCTGTCCTCCACTCGTTACCTGTATTAATGGCACCTGTTTGAACTTGTTATCAGTATAAAAGACACCTGTCCACAACCTCAAACAGTCACACTCCAAACTCCACTATGGCCAAGACCAAAGAGCTGTCAAAGGACACCAGAAACAAAATTGTAGACCTGCACCAGGCTGGGAAGACTGAATCTGCAATAGGTAAGCAGCTTGGTTTGAAGAAATCAACTGTGGGAGCAATTATTAGGAAATGGAAGACATACAAGACCACTGATAATCTCCCTCGATCTGGGGCTCCACGCAAGATCTCACCCCGTGGGGTCAAAATGATCACAAGAACGGTGAGCAAAAATCCCAGAACCATACGGGGGGACCTAGTGAATGACCTGCAGAAAGCTGAGACCAAAGTAACAAAGCCTACCATCAGTAACACACTACGCCGCCAGGGACTCAAATCCTGCAGTGCCAGACGTGTCCCCCTGCTTAAGCCAGTACATGTCTAGGCCCGTCTGAAGTTTGCTAGAGTGCATTTGGATGATCCAGAAGAGGATTGGGAGAATGTCATATGGTCAGATGAAACCAAAATATAACTTTTTGGTAAAAACTCAACTCGTCGTGTTTGGAGGACAAAGAATGCTGAGTTGCATCCAAAGAACACCATACCTACTGTAAAGCATGGGGTGGAAACATCATGCTTTGGGGCTGTTTTTCTGCAAAGGGACCAGGACGACTGATCCGTGTAAAGGAAAGAATGAATGGGGCCATGTATCGTGAGATTTTTAGTGAAAACCTCCTTCCATCAGCAAGGGCATTGAAGATGAAACGTGGCTGGGTCTTTCAGCATGACAATGATCCCAAACACACCGCCCGGGCAACGAAGGAGTGGCTTCGTAAGAAGCATTTCAAGGTCCTGGAGTGGCCTAGCCAGTCTCCAGATCTCAACCCCATAGAAAATCTTTGGAGGGAGTTGAAAGTCCGTGTTGCCCAGCGACAGCCCCAAAACATCACTGCTCTAGAGGAGATCTGCATGGAGGAATGGGCCAAAATACCAGCAACAGTGTGTGAAAACCTTGTGAAGACTTACAGAAAACGTTTGACCTGTGTCATTGCCAACAAAGGGTATATAACAAAGTATTGAGAAACTTTTGTTATTGACCAAATACTTATTTTCCACCATAATTTGTAAATAAATTCATTAAAAATCCTACAATGTGATTTTCAGGATTTTTTTTCCTCATTTTGTCTGTCATAGTTGACGTGTACCTATGATGAAAATTACAGGCCTCTCTCATCTTTTTAAGTGGGAGAACTTGCACAATTGGTGGCTGACTAAATACTTTTTCCCCCCACTGTAGGTAGATTATAAGTATTTCTTGGCAGGCTGAGGTTTAGCCGTTTCTCTCTGCCGTCACTAGTTTAGCCGGTCCTCGCTATTAATGTGGCTACTGTTTTGTTTGGCAAGCCAGCCCACACTTGTTTGACTGACACTATATCTCCGCTATTTCAGTAATGGGACTCGTGCTATTTGAGTAATTCAGCATGTAAACTATAGTGTCAACTACGAAGTTACATTCATATCAGCAGACTAATTTAGCTAGATCAAGTGCGTCTCTGAAGATAGAATGGGTTCTTCTTATCAGTGTCGAGCGTTGGTGGTATAGTGGTGAGCATAGCTGCCTTCCAAGCAGTTGACCCGGGTTCGATTCCCGGCCAACGCAGATAATTTTGCCTTAGTTCCTTTTTGATGGAGGCTACATTTTGGTACCTGCGTCACAGCTATAATAAATAGGCTCGATACAAAGGATTACCAAGCAAACGTACCAATAATGTCTCTCAAATACTAGCTCCAATCTAAAAACATCTCCATCAAGCAATTAATTGAACAACACCTTGACTGCTCGTGTTGCACCTTTACTTGCCCCGTTTTATGCTCCCATTTGATTGGGCTTGCCTGTACTTAGTTTCAGATGTTGTAAAATAGCTCAATGGATGTTTTGATGCTGATGCTCCGTTGTGCTCCGCCCCCTCTTGAAACTCCGAGCTGACAGATACAGCTGACTTCCATCCTGAGTGCTAGGCACACGCTTCCATCGCATGAAGTCAAAGAGTCTCCTACGCACCATGGCATCGGACGAATTGGCGAGGAAACTGCAGCCCAGGATGGCCGCAGAGCAGGTTCCCCTATTCAACCCGTGTGCACCAGAGGAGACCCCGGTGAAACCGAGCGACCCTGTCCCTGAGCCGCAGGAAAAAGAGGTGGTGGTCGTTGTCAATGATGCCACATCGGAACTCACGGCGAAACTCACCCGGAGACTGGACATCAACGATGGGAACGCGGCGCCCAAGCAAGCCAAGGTGTTCAACCCTTACACGGAATTCAAAGAGTTCTCCCGCAAACAGATCAAAGACATGGAGAACATTTTCAAACGGTAGGCTTTATTTTTATTTGAATATCATTCTAATATCATTCTTGTGGCAATGGTTATAGCCTATTTTGTGACTTGACTTGATAAAGAGGTGTCCTTAGTTATGTCTGTAGGGGTGGCAGGGGAACAAAGTAACACCGGGTCAGTTGTACTGTAACAGTTTAATAACTCAAATTAGAAACAATTTAGAAAGATGTTATAAAATGTGATAATGCCTAATACGTTTAGTTTAAATCCATCAATTATTTGTTGTTTTATTGACACAAATGTGTAATTATACACATTATACTATTTTTTAAATAATAGACTTGTGGAACCATTCTCCATGTATCTAAATAATAATTGTTATTTTATTTTGTGGGGGGGGGGGGGGGGGGGGGGGGGGTGTTCGTTGTAACACAGTACCTAAAATCGTAAATTAGACACATTCACATAATTATATAAAATGTCACTTCTTTATATCAAGATTAGCAGATAATACCTTAGAAAAATTACAAAAAAAGTCAAATTCAGACTTTTGAATGCTAAAAATATCTTATATAAAATATCTTAATTTTGGTTACTCCGTTTTTGGTCAATATGACATGCCTGAAAGATCAAATGGAAATATTTGTTGTCAATTTAGTGTATTATCATCGAAATATCAGTTTCAAATCATAATCATCATTTTTAAATTGTCCTTCATTTTTTACCATTGAAGACAGTGTTACATTTAACTCCTCAGCCTGTTACATTTCATCCCGCCTACTGTGTCAATTGTAACATTTGACTCCCGCCACTTTCGGTTGAATTGTAAAACTGGTATGTCCTAGAAATGTAGTTACAGTGTGTAATGGTAGTTGAGCTATGCATGTTGTTTGTATAAAAATATTATTCATCTAACATAAATAGCCTTTTCATAATAAGCAAAAGCCTAAAAGTGTTATTTTTTGTTCCCTGGACTCCACTATGCATGTTTTAAGAGATGAAGCCTATATATTATGTCGGAGACAACTACCTGACCACACAATTGACAAGGTGAACTGAGCTTAGTGACCTCTGTCTACTGCTTGTGGAGTTAAATTGTTGTGGAACTTCAGACTGAATGGTATTCATCTAGCCTTCAACACTTTCCATTTCTGTCATGAATAAATATTAATAATTCATCTCCCATATAGCTTACATGACAATAATTAATCTCTAGGTTGCTAGCCTAGTGTTATTGTTATTGTATAGGGCGAACCCCCCCCCCCCCCCCCTCTTTTCTCTACCTCTCATTTAATCCTCTCATAGACTACGTACTGTACAAACCTGGTGTGTGTGTGTGTGTGTGTGTGTGTGTGTGTGTGTGTGTGTGTGTGTGTGTGTGTGTGTGTGTGTAGCTAGAGCCTGCTTTGTCACTCCGGTCTCTGCAGCACCAACCCTTTAGGAAATTCATGGACCCAGCGGGGGGGGGGATGTGGGGCTATACTGGGCTTTACTGACATCCTCTGTACCAGGCCAGAATAATGTTTTCTCCTGGGCCAATGGAACTGTACAGTCCCCCATTGTGCTACTGTCTTTTTTTCACTGGAGGGACAAGGGCTGCTCTTCTCAAACACTGTGTCCCCAGTGACACCCCCTCTCCTGTGCGACAATGGCATCTTTGTGTGTGTGTGTGTGTGTGTGTGTGTGTGTGTGTGTGTGTGTGTGAGGGGTGTCCACTGACGAGAGGAGACCCTACTGTATACAGTGTTTCTCTGGCGAGGGAGAGAGAGAGGGGAGATTGAGACTGGACAGCGTCTGTGTGTGAGACTAGTAGTGTCCAGGTACTGTATTTGCTCAGAGCTATTGGGGAGACTACTTCAGAGCTATTCGGGAGACTACTTCAGAGCTATAGGGGAGCCTACTTCAGAGCTATAGGGGAGCCTACTTCAGAGCTATAGGGGAGCCTACTTCAGAGCTATAGGGGAGACTACTTCAGAGCTATTGGGGAGACTACTTCAGAGCTATAGGGGAGACTACTTCAGAGCTATAGGGGAGCCTACTTCAGAGCTATAGGGGAGCCTACTTCAGAGCTATAGGGGAGCCTACTTCAGAGCTATAGGGGAGACTACTTCAGAGCTATTGGGGAGACTACTTCAGAGCTATAGGGGAGCCTACTTCAGAGCTATAGGGGAGCCTACTTCAGAGCTATAGGGGAGCCTACTTCAGAGCTATAGGGGAGCCTACTTCAGAGCTATAGGGGAGACTACTTCAGAGCTATAGGGGAGACTACTTCAGAGCTATAGGGGAGACTACCTCAGAGCTATAGGGGAGCCTACTTCAGAGCTATTGGGGAGCCTACTTCAGAGCTATTGGGGAGACTACTTCAGAGCTATAGGGGAGACTACTTCAGAGCTATAGGGGAGACTACTTCAGAGCTATAGGGGAGACTACTTACATTTCTGTTGGAGACATTGAACATGAGGACATTTTAATACTTTTGTTCCAGTTCATCTGTTCATCTAAAGCTTTGTAGCTACAGGTGCATGTGAAAACAGTGTAGAGAAGGATAATGATTGTTGGGTAGATGCAGTGACACTGCAGTTTTTCCAGGACTATGTATTTAAACTTGAGTTTTACATTTGAGTTTGACCTAATTTAGCTCTCAGCACAGTTGGAAAGGAAGACTCAGTAAGTAGAGGGGAAAATGGGTCACAGAGAGAGGGAGAGAGGAGGGGGGCTTGATATCACCCTCTTTCCTTAGGAGGACGTTGGGTTGATATAGTGAACTTACTTGAACACGCCTCTCATTGACAAACATGCACTTAGATGCACTCATGAAGAAACATTTAGTAAACGTGCCCCCCCCCCCCCTCTCTCTCTCTCTCTCTCTCTCTCTCTCTCTCTCTCTCTCTCTCTCTCTCTCTCTCTCTCTCTCACACACACACCCACACACACACTGCCCCAGATTCTCTTGTGTTGGTTGAATGTGTCCTCTATCTCCTTCGCCTCTGTTTTCTTCCATGAAGACCCCCCCCACCCCTCTCTCTCGCTCTTCATTCTCTATCTCTATGGCTTGCTCTCAAGCTGTCCTGCCCGGGGCAGGTTTTATCCATCTCTCCTATAGCCATCACTGGGGCACTTCCTAGACATATGTCCAGCCCGTGATAGACACGTGTTGCAGCATTACCCACCCAGGATAGACACATGTTGAGGCATTACCCATCCGTGATAGACACGTGTTGCAGCATTACCCACCCAGGATAGACACATGTTGAGGCATTATAGACACGTGTAGCTGCATTACCCACCCATGATAGACACGTGTAGCTGCATTACCCACCCGTGTCGTAAGTGTCATAAGTATAGACTGTCAAAGCTTTCGAGTTTGGTTTCTGTGCAATGCTCAGACCTTGATTATTAATTAGATCACAGTGAGTTGAAGTGCTGTAAAACCTCCATGTCCTTAGTTTATCCTATCTTCTCTCTGTAGGCTTTTCATTGGCTGAAGCGGAGAGGTCAGGTGTGCTGTCTTTGCCTGACTCATTATTTTCTGAGTGGACACTGCTTCCTTTATCTACCCAACCCCTGTTTCATCTCCCCCTGCTCTCCTTAGCTTTGCATGCAGGGTACTTGACCCTCTGACCTAGGCACTGGCGGGTAACCTAGATGTGGGTGAGACACATGCTCAGCGGGGGCAGTGGCCAGTCTGTCTGTGTCCTAAAGTGTTCTTGGATGCGGTCGTGGTGGCAGAGCCTAGCTGGGGTGAGGGCCAGGGAGGGGGCACTTTGGAATGTTCTAAGTGTGGGTAGGCTAGATTGAGGGCAGGGCTGGGGCCATTCCATCCTAAATTCTGCCCCTTCTCTCACCCCTTTACACTCTGCCTCACCCTATCATCTTTTGGTCTATCCCTCCTCACCCTCTCTCTCTTCCCTGATCCTGCCCCACTCACTCACCCACTTTCTCTGCATTCCAGAGGCCTTAACCCGTCCCTGCCTTTTAACTCTGCATAACTCGAACTCATCATCAACACTACACTCTTAGAAAAAAAGGTGCTATATAGAACCTAAAAGTGTTATTCGGCTGTCCCCATAAGAGAACCCTTTGAATAACCTTTTTGGTTCCAGGTAGAACCCTTTTGGTTCCAGGTAGTACCCTTTTGAGTTCCATGTAAAACCCTTTACACAGAGGGTTCTACATGGAACCCAAAATAGTTATACTTGGAACCAAAAATGGTTCTCCTATGGGGACAACAGAATAACCCTTTTGGAACCCTTTTTTCTAAGAGTGTAGTCACAATTCTGACTTTTGATTGAGTCACTGATCTAAAAACAGCCTCTGGTAACGTGTTAGTCACTGTGATTTCTGAGGGATGCATTACAGATGAGGATGTAGGCGCTATCAGCCGGCCCTTATCTGCTCCATCTTCACTCAGACACTAGAACGCCCTATAGCAGCAGGAGTGACCTGAATTACACTCCTGTTGAGAGAGAGGGAGGGAGAGAGAGAGAGAGAGAGAGAGATCCAAAAATACAGTGTCCATGCCAAAAGCCTTGGTATCTATAATTACCATACTGCAGGAAGTTAGCTGTGGGACAATAAGGCCTGACTATGGGCTGTGGCACCACTCCCTGACAAAGGAAGACATTCCACAATACTGTTGTTTTCTTGCAACGTCTCACTTTTGAGTTTTTCGATAGCCAAACAGCCTTTCAGTCTTATCTATTTTACGTCAAAGCTTTCGGCAGACTTTCGGTCGGTAGATTGTGGTAGAATGCTGGGGCTGGAATAGTAGCCCAGAGTAGTATTTTACTGATCATAGTACTCAAGTGCCTCTGACCAGGCAGGTTTTCTGTTCTTTCAGCATAACATGTTGTTGTTGTGAGATACTGACTTACCCCGCTGAGGAGCTGGACTAGGACCTGTCACTAAGCTGTGAAGTGAGTCCTGTACGTACAGGTGACAGTTGCTAAGCTGCTCTGGGGTCATCAGTTGCTGTGAACAGTTGTCATACTGGTCAGCTGTGGAGGGCCAAACGGAACCAGCTGTCCTAGAACACAGATGGCAGGAAATGTGTTGTGTGTGTGTGTGTGTGTGTGTGTGTGTGTGTGTGTGTGTGTGTGTGTGTGTGTGTTATGTGTGTGTGTGTAATGTGTGTGTGTGTGGGTGAGGGGCATGAATATGGTGAAAAGTAATTCAGCAGGCTTGACAGGGACACAAACAGGAATGAAGGTATTGGGTGCGTTACAGTATTGGGTGGATGTAGATTGATATTCAACAGGACAAAACGTGTTTCATTAGTGGTTGTATTCGTACCAAGGATTTATTTTGGGATGGATGTTTAGCGTTAGTAAAGCAATGTTTCCCTTTGAAGTGATGTGTGTGGGGTGGGGTTCAAATCAGTGGTCCTTTGTGCTACTGAGATGATGATATCTTTAGGCTGAATGTTAGGAAGTTAATAGTCCTAAATCAGGTTGTTTTGAAGGGAGGGGGTTTAGTTCCTAAGGCCTTTGAAGAGTTGGACTGAAACAATGACCTCTCTCTCTCTTTGGTCTCTGGTCTGACCAGATTACACTCCTACCATTCAGGTGTTGGCAGATAGGAGCACTTGTGTGTGTGTGTGTGAGTGTGTGTGTGTCTGTGTGAGAGAGAGTGTGTGTGTTTCCTCACTCACACCCAGATCCAGTGCCACTCGAACAGCTGTGTGACAGGATCTATAAATACTGTTGTGTCAGATAGACAGACAGACTCCTTGCATGCCATCTCACAAACACACACACACACACACACACACACACACACACACACACACACACACACACACACACACACACACTGCTACTCTATCTCAATCTCACTCAGTCATGTCTCTCTCTGTTTTTCAATTACTCCCTTGATCTGTTTATCTAGGACCCCCAACACCCTTGATTAATCTGTTGTGTGTCTGATGACAAATTATTGTGTGGTGTGTTTACTGTGATTTATTAGGGAAAGTTGGTGTTTGTGTGTGTCAGTCAAGCGCAGACAGCTGTCAGGGGACTGTCCGGTTAGTGTCAACCACCTGGATCACTATTCCCAACATCATACCTTTATCATAACATGTCTGTCTCTCCTGTGTGTGTGTGTGTGTGTGTTTAATGTCATTGGCAGGCTTAGGACCTGTATCTCTATGTCTAGATGTGGCAGTCTGGTCAGAATCAGGGTATAGATGCCTTTCACCACATTGGGCCTTTCAGCCAGTCTAGGCTGAACTTAGAAAGGTTTGGCACATATCTTACTAGAGCCATGAGGTTTTGCTGAGCATTTGACCTGACCATGAGAAACACCTCTAGTTGTTGGCTATATAACTATCTATGGCCATAGCTTTTGACCTTTATGACAGACTTTAAATGTTTCCTCTCCTGATAATTTAATGTGAGGTAGTGTAATGTCTGTGTACCTTCGTCTCTCAATAGCTATATGTAGACACACCTGTATGTAGATTTGACAGTGTTAAGGAGGGCTTCATAGAGTTGTGATGTTATAATGGAAGTTCATTGAGCTACCCTCCTCTCTCTGTAGTTTTGACGGTGGTAAGGACGGCTTCATAGACCTGATGGAGTTGAAGCTGATGATGGAGAAGCTGGGAGCGCCTCAGACCCACCTGGGCCTCAAGAACATGATCAAGGAGGTGGACGAGGACTTTGATGGCAAGCTGAGCTACAGAGAGGTGTGTGTACTGTACTGTCTACGTCCATGTCAATTTCCCTGTGTGTGTGTGTGTGTGCCTGAGTGAGTCAATGCCTCACAAGGCCTGTTAATTACAGTGTGTATGTTTTAACTGCAGTAACACATACAGTGCCTTCAGAAACTATTCACTCTCCTTGACTTTTTCCACATTTTGTTGTGTTACAACCTGAATTTAAAATTGATTACATTTAGATTTTTTTGTCACTGGCCTACACAAAATACCCGATAATGTGAAAGTGGAATTATGTTTTTGAAATGTTTACAAATGAATTAAAAATGAAAATCTCAAATGTCTTGAGTCAATAAGTATTCAACCCCTTTGTTATGGCAAGCATAAATAAGTTCAGGAGTAAAAATTTGCTTAATAAGTCACATAATAAGTTGCATGGACTCACTCTGTGTGTAATAATAATGTTTAACATGATTTTTGAATGACTACCTCATCTCTGTACCCCACACATACAATTATCTGTAAGGTCCCTCATTTGAACAGTGAATTTCAAACACAGATTCAACCACAAAGACCAGGGAGGTTTTCCAATGTCTCGCAAAGAAGGGCACCTATTGGTAGATGGGTAAAAAAAAAAAAAAGCAGACATTGAATATCCCTTTGAGCATGATGAAGTTTTTAATTACACTTTGGATGGTGTATCAATACACCCAGTCACTGCAAAGGTACAGGCGTCCTTCCTAACTCAGTTGCCGGAGAGGAAGGATACCACTCAGGGATTTCACCATGAGGCCAATGGTGACTTTAAAACAGTTACAGAGTTGAATGGCTGTGATAGGAGAAAACTGAGGATGTATCAACAACATTGTAGTTACTCCACAATACTAACCTAATTGACAGAGTGAAAAGAAGGAAGCCTGTACTCAATAAAAATATACCAAAACAGGCATCCTGTTTGAAACAAGGCACTAAAGTAATACTGCAAAAAAATGTGGCAGAACAATAAACTTTTTGTCCTGAATACAAAGTGTTATGTTTGGGGCAAATACAATACAACACATGACTGAGTACCACTCTCCATATTTTCAAGTATAGTGGTGGCTGCATCATGTTATGGGTATGCCTGTAATCGTTAAGGACTGGGGAGTTTTTCAGGACAAAAAATAAATGGAATGGAGCTAAGCACAGGCAAAATCCTAGAGGAAAACCTGGTTCAGTCTGCTTTTCACCAGACACTGGGAGATTAATTCACCTTTCAGCGGACAATAACCTAAAACATAAGGCCATATCTACACTGGAGTTGCTTACCAAGAAGACAGTGAATGTTCCTGAGTGGCCGAGTTACAGTTTTGACTTAAATCTACAAGAAAATCTATGGCAAGACCTGAAAATGGTGTCTAGCAATGATCAACAACCAATTTGACAGAGCTTGAAGAATTTTGGAAAGAATAATGTGTTAATGTTGCACAATCCAAGTGTGGAAAGCTTTTAAAGACTTACCCATAAAGACTCACAGCTGTAATCACTGCCAAAAAACAAAAACAAAGGTGCTTCTACAAAATATTGACTCAGGGGTGTGAATACTGTAAATGAGATATTTCTGCATTTCATTTTCAATAAATGTGCAAACATTTCTTAAAACATGTTTTCACTTTGTCATTATGGGGTATTGTCAAAATCCATTTTGAATTCAGGCTGTAACACAACAAAATGTGGAGAGAGAGAGAGAGAGAGAGAGAGAGAGAGAGAGAGAGAGGGAGGAAAAGGGCAACCAGTGGAGCACAAACACCATTGTAAATACAACCTATATTTATCTGTTTATTTATTTTCCCTTTCATACTTCAACTATTTGCACATTGTTACAACATTGCTAATAATATAACATTTGAAATGTCTATATTATTTAACAACTTTTGTGTGTATAATGTTTACTGTTAATTTTTTAAAAATGTATTTCCCTTGTTTATTTCCCTTTTATTTATTGTCTATTTCACTTGCTTTAGCAATGTAAACATATGTTTCCCATGCCAATAAAGCCCTTTGAATTGCATTGAATTTAGAGCGAAAGAAGCTGATTACAACAGGTAGAGCACACTTCTGCATGACTTATTTCATGGGAGGGGGCTGAGGCTATCTCCCCGTATCCCTCTTACTCCCCTCCCTCTCTCTTTTTCTCTTTCCTACCCCCTCCCTCGCCCTTGTTACTCCTCTCCCTCTCCCTCCTTATCTTTCCTACTTCCCTCTCTCTCTCCTTCTCTTTCCTACCCCCTCCCTCGCCCTTCTTACTCCTCTCCCTCTCCCTCCTTATCTTTCCTACTTCCCTCTCTCCCTCCTTATCTTTCCTACTTCCCTCTCTCTCTCCTTCTCTTTCCTACCCCCTCCCTCTCCCTTCTCCCTCATATTCCCCTCCCTCTCAATTCAATTTCAATTTAAGGGCTTTTATTGGCATGGGAAACGTATGTTAACATTGCCAAAGCAAGTGAAGTAGAGAGTAAACAAAAGTGAAATAATTTTTTTATATTAACAGTAAACATTACACTCAGAAATTCCAAAAGAATAAAGACATTTCAAATGTCATATTATGTACAGTGGGGAGAACAAGTATTTGATACACTGCCGATTTTGCAGGTTTTCCTACTTACAAAGCATGTAGAGGTCTGTAATTTTTATCATAGGTACACTTCAACTGTGAGAGACGGAATCTAAAATAAAAATCCAGGAAATCACATTGTATGATTTTTAAGTAATTAATTTGCATTTTATTGCATGACATAAGTATTTGATCACCTACCAACCAGTAAGAATTCCGGCTCTCACAGACCTGTTCGTTTTTCTTTAAGAAGCCCTCCTGTTCTCCACTCATTACCTGTATTAACTGCACCTGTTTGAACTCGTTACCTGTATAAAAGACACCTGCAAGATCTCACCTCGTGGGGCTTCAATGATCATGAGGAAGGTGAGGGATCAGCCCAGAACTACACGGCAGGACCTGGTCAATGACCTGAAGAGAGCTGGGTCCACAGTCTCAAAGAAAACCATTAGTAACACACTACGCCGTCATGGATTAAAATCCTGCAGTGCACGCAAGGTCCCCCTGCTCAAGCCAGCGCATGTCCAGGCCCATCTGAAGTTTGCCAATGACCATCTGGATGATCCAGAGGAGGAATGGGAGAAGGTCATGTGGTCTGATGAGACAAAAATATAGTTTTTTGGTCTAAACTCCACTCGCCGTGTTTGGAGGAAGAAGAAGGATGAGTACAACCCCAAGAACACCATCCCAACCGTGAAGCATGGAAGTGGAAACATCATTCTTTGGGGATGCTTTTCTGCAAAGGGGACAGGACAACTGCACCATATTGAGGGGAGGATGGATGGGGCGAGATCTTGGCCAACAACCTCCTTCCCTCAGTAAGAGCATTGAAGATGGGTCGTGGCTGGGTCTTCCAGCATGAAAACGACCCGAAACACACAGCCAGGGCAACTAAGGAGTGGCTCCATAAGAAGGATCTCAAGGTCCTGGAGTGGCCTAGCCAGTCTCCAGACCTGAATCCAATAGAAAATCTTTGGAGGGAGCTTAAAGTCCGTATTGCCCAGCGACAGCCCCGAAACCTGAAGGATCTGGAGAAAGTCTGTATGGAGGAGTGGGCCAAAATCCCTGCTGCAGTGTGTGCAAACCTGGTCAAGACCTACAGGAAACGTATGATCTCTGTAATTGCAAACAAAGGTTTCTGTACCAAATATTAAGTTCTGCTTTTCTGATGTATCAAATACTTATGTCATGCAACAAAATGCAAATTAATTACTTACAAATCATACAATGTGATTTTCAGTGTATCAAATACTTGTTCTCCCCACTGTATGTTTTTGGTTGGATAGGTTTCTCAATTTCTTTCTTAGGTTTTTGCATTCTTCATCAAACCATTTGTCACTGTTGTTACTTTTCTTCGGTTTTCTGTTAGATATTTTTAGATTTGATAGGGAAGCTGAGAGGTTAGTGGAACATTTTGTCCAGGAAGTTGTCTAAAAGGGATTGAATTTGTTGTTGCCTAATTGTTTTTTGGTAGGTTTCGACACTACTTTCCTTCCATCTATAGCATTTCTTAATATTATTCAGTTCCTTTGGCTTTGACGCCTCATGATTGAGTATTGCTCTGTTCAAGTAGACCAGGGTTCTTCAATTCCGGTCCTGGAGGGCCGAAACAATTCTGTTTTTTATTTCTACCTGGTAGTTAATTGCACTCACCTGGTGTCCCAGGTCTGAATTAGCCCCTGATTAGAAGGAGAGGATGAAAAACAGAGGTGTTTTGGCCCTCCAGGTCCGGAATTGAAGAACCCTGAAGTAGACTGTGATTTTGCTGTGGTCTGATAGGGGTGTCAGTGGGCTGACTGTGAATGCTCTGAGAGACTCTGCGTTGAGGTCAGTGATAAAGTAGTCTACAGTACTACTGCCAAGAGATGAGCTATAGGTGTACCTACCATAGGAGTCCCCTCGAAGCCTACCATTGACTATGTACATACCCAGTGTGCGACAGAGCTGCAGGAGTTGTGACCCGTTAATGTTGGTTATGTTGTCGTAGTTGTGCCTAGGGGGGCATATTGGGGAGGGAATGCTGTCACCTCCAGGTAGGTGTTTGTCCCCCTGTGTGCTGAGGGTGTCAGGTTCTTGTCCAGTTCTGGCATTTAGGTCGCCACAGACTAGTACATGTCCCTGGGTCTGGAAATGATTGATTTCCCCCTCCAGGATGGAGAAGCTGTCTTCATTAAAGTATGGGGATTCTAGTGGGGGGATATAGGTAGCACACAGGAGGACATTTTTCTCTGTTGAGATAATTTCCTTTTGAATTTCTAGCCAAATGTAAAATGTTCCTGTTTTGATTAATTTAATAGAGTGAGTTAGGTCTGCTCTATACCAAATTAGCATGCCCCCTGAGTCCCTTCCCTGTTTCACACCTGGTAGTTTGGTGGATGGGACTACCAGCTCTCTTTAACCTAGAGGGCAACCAGTGGGTCCGTCTCCTCTATACCATGTTTCTTGTAGGATGACAATGTCTTTATTTCCGATTTCTTTGGTGAAGTCCAGGTTCCTGCTCTTTAGGCCAAAGGCAGATGGCCTCAGGCCTTGGATATTCCAGGATGAAATAGTGAAGGCTTTGTGTTCCATAAAGTGTCTAATGTTGTTGGTCGTGTGGTTTGGCCTCAGGCCAGAAATTGTGAGCAGAGCCTGCTGAGCATCTGGTACATGCCATTGTCTTGGGCTAGTGTAAGAGTGGGGGTTGGGCCTGTTTGCCTGCTCACAGCCTGGGCGTATGTGTGACTTTCATGTTGAGGCCCCCTTTAGGGTCCGGGCGAAGGTGGGCACTGCTGCCTTGTATAGGTGGACCTGGTCGTAAAGGCTGTTCACGTCCAGGGTGGAGTGGTGGGCCAGGTAGACATTTGGTTTTGAGGCACAGTCACGGGAAATACTTGCGTTTACCTGCTGTATGGTAGTAGGGTTGAAATATTTTCGTGGTAGCAGGGTTGAGATAGCCACTTGTGCGTTGGGGAAAGTAGAATAAGCTTTTTCTATCACTCCCTTGAGTACTGTGGCCACCCTTTCCTGCTGTGTTCTCAGGTCGTTTGTGCCTGTGTGTATTATTATGTGGCTGGGTGATCCTAGTTGGTCCTCAGACAGAAGGTCTAGGGCGCGCTGGGTGTTTGGACACCAGAGTTTAGACACTGTGTGTTTGGGGAAAAGTTTATTTTATTTTATGTATTTCCCGTTTGAGTCCATAAGGAATACAATCTGTGGCTTGTGTATGTCTTCAGTGGGTGTGGGGGGGTCGTCATGAGGACTATCAGGGTGTCTGACAGGGGGGTTGCTCAGAGGTGTTGGGGTCCCCAGGGCTTGGGGTTCTTCATTTGTTTGTCAGGCTGTGATGTCGAGGCTATGGTCAGGGTCTAGGGTGTACTGTTCTGCTGCTGTGTCGAGACTTTGGTCAGAATCTGAGGTGGGCTGTTCTGCTGGCTTCTCTGCGGGGGTGGCCAGCTCGCTAATGAGTTGTTCTCTGTCACCCGACATCGTTCTCACCTTCTCCTCCAGCACTCTGATCCTCTCCTGTAGTGCTCTGTTCTTCTCCTGCTCCTGCTCTTTCTCCTGTTGATGTTGTCTCACCACAGTCCAGAGTGCAGATAAGTCTCTCTCCACCTCCAGCTCTTCAGGTCTAGTTAAGGGGGTGTTGTTGTGCTGAACTGTTGTCTGGGTCTGCGCTGACTGGAGTGTAATCACCTGCTGTTCCAGCACCACCTGCCTTACCTCCAGCTGGGTGAATGTATCCTTCATTTCAATGAGGGAGTAGTACTCTGTGCTGGGAAGTTGACTTTCTGCTTGGGGTTGCTCGTCTGTGGGGTTATTTATTGAAAAGGTCTGGTCTGACCCGCTCGGGGTGGGGGTATCTTTCTCAAGGGAGAGCTTCTCCTGCTGAGCTATTTCTTTGATTAGGTAAAAGTCCAGCTGGAACTGTTTGGTGTTGCCCTGGACCAATACTGTTCCAGATTTATAGAGATTTATATTAGCTGACTCAGAGTCCTCATTGTCTAGTATCCTGAGTTTCCACCCATCGCTAACACCCCCCCCCCCTCTTAACAGAGGGGTAGTGTGCTAGTATAGCACTGTGCCATGCCTGGGGATGGTCTGTGTGGAAGATAAGGTTGCTTATGTTCCATTTTTATAAAAGTCAGCAAAAAGTGTCTCCTGATTTCCCATAGGGAGCTTCATTTTGTACTCTTCGTGTCTTATCATTCTTTACATACAGGGGGTACTGTCTTTTAATTACCTCTGAACAGCGGGAGGGTGCTTCTAAGGCCTTTCCATTTGGTTGGGGTAGACTGTGCGACTCTCCTGCCATTGTTGGGCTCAAGGGCTTTGACACCTCTCACTTCACACATCAGTACTAATTGAAGTTGTATCTCTTTGTACTAGCAAGCTTGGTAGCCTTAGCATTCAGTCCTTATAAAGTAAAATATATCATTGTAATGTATTTTTCTTCTTGGTTTTTGAAAGTAAAAAATTGTTTCAGACTAAACATTACTCACTCAGTTGCAGGTTGGATGGTGTTTTCAGGTTTCTGTTTGTTTGCCAGAGCATTTGCTGTATAGTTTGGGAATAGTAATCCTTGGTAGTAGAAAGCCTTCCAGGTAATTCCGTCCAAAATCAAGTTGTAGGTTTGGAGTTTTGGTTTGGAATGAAGGTTATGTTGTGGAGGGTAGCATCCTGTATATGTCCCTGCCAAAAAAATCTAAGTTTATCTAACTCTAAATCTATATTTTTTGTAAAAACATGCTGGAAAATGCAGGAGCAATGTCTTTGAGCTCTCTCTTTCTCTCTTGGGTCTCTCTCTCTGCATCTTTCCTACCCCCTCTCTCGTTCTCTCTCACACACTCACAGGGTATAACAGGTGATAGGGGCAGCTGAACAGAGATACAAAGACTCTGTTGTGTTTCAGCTCTGAGGTATTGACTAAAGCCAAATGCTTGCTTCTCTTTGCCTCTCATTCTCCTGATTGGAGTAGCAGGGTTCCACACAGACATATCCCATTACACAGCACAGTCCCCCTAGGACCACTGGTGGTCAGGCTAGATGGAGAATTCTATCACCCCTCTGAGCCTGGTTCCTCTCTAGGTGTCTTCCTAGGTTCCTGCCTTTCTAGGGAGTTTTCCCTAGCCACTCTGCTTCTGCATCTGAATTGCTTGCGCTTTGTGGTTTTAGGCTGGGTATCAGTATAGTACTTTGTGACAACTGCTGACGTAAAAAGGGCTTTATAAAATTTGGTTGATTGATATCAGGTCGCTACACCAAGGTCGCATACAGAAATCACTTCTCATAGGAGGACAGTTCTGACACTAAACCCACAGACATGAACAGTTGTTATCACGTCTATATGATGTTATCCAGGCTCTGCTGTAGCCGGCCGCAACCGGGAGACCAATGGGGCGGCGCACAATTGGCCCAGCGTCGTCCAGGGTATGGGAAGGGAATGGCAGGCAGGGAGGTAGCTCAGTTGATGGAGCATGGCGTTTGCAACGCCAGGGTTGTGGGTTCGTTTCCCACGGGGGGCCAGTATGAAAATAATAATATATGCACTAACTGTAAGTCGCTCTGGATAAAAGCATCAGCTAAATGACGTAAATGTAAATGTAAAATGTTATGATATTAGAAGGAACCGTTATCACTTCTATATGATGTTATGATATTAGAAGGAACCGTTATCACTTCTATATGATGTTATGTTATTAGAAGGAACCGTTATCACTTCTATATGATGTTATGATATTAGAAGGAACCGTTATCACTTCTATATGATGTTATGATATTAGAAGGAACCGTTATCACTTCTATATGATGTTATGATATTAGAAGGAACCATTATCACTTCTATATGATGTTATGTTATTAGAAGGAACCGTTATCACTTCTATATGATGTTATGTTATTAGAAGGAACCATTATCACTTCTATATGATGTTATGTTATTAGAAGGAACCGTTATCACTTCTATATGATGTTATGATATTAGAAGGAACAGTTATCACTTCTATATGATGTTATGATATTAGAAGGAACCATTATCACTTCTATATGATGTTATGTTATTAGAAGGAACCGTTATCACTTCTATATGATGTTATGTTATTAGAAGGAACCATTATCACTTCTATATGATGTTATTGTTATTAGAAGGAACCATTATCACTTCTATATGATGTTATGATATTAGAATAAACAGTTATCACTTCTATATGATGTTATGATATTAGAAGGAACAGTTATCACTTCTATATGATGTTATGATATTAGAAGGAACCGTTATCACTTCTATATGATGTTATGATATTAGAAGGAACCATTATCACTTCTATATGATGTTATGTTATTAGAAGGAACCGTTATCACTTCTATATGATGTTATTGTTATTAGAAGGAACCATTATCACTTCTATATGATGTTATGATATTAGAAGGAACAGTTATCACTTCTATATGATGTTATGATATTAGAAGGAACAGTTATCACTTCTATATGATGTTATGATATTAGAAGGAACAGTTATCACTTCTATATGATGTTATGTTATTAGAAGGAACCATTATCACTTCTATATGATGTTATGATATTAGAAGGATCCATTATCACTTCTATGTGATGTTATGATATTAGAAGGAATCGTTATCACTTCTATATGATGTTATGATATTAGAAGGAACCATTATCACTTCTATATGATGTTATGATATTAGAAGGAACCGTTATCACTTCTATATGATGTTATGTTATTAGAAGGAACCATTATCACTTCTATATGATGTTATGATATTAGAAGGAACCATTATCACTTCTATATGATGTTATGTTATTAGAAGGAACCGTTATCACTTCTATATGATGTTATGATATTAGAAGGAACAGTTATCACTTCTATATGATGTTATGATATTAGAAGGAACCATTATCACTTCTATATGATGTTATGTTATTAGAAGGAACCGTTATCACTTCTATATGATGTTATGTTATTAGAAGGAACCATTATCACTTCTATATGATGTTATGTTATTAGAAGGAACCGTTATCACTTCTATATGATGTTATGATATTAGAAGGAACAGTTATCACTTCTATATGATGTTATGATATTAGAAGGAACCATTATCACTTCTATATGATGTTATGTTATTAGAAGGAACCGTTATCACTTCTATATGATGTTATGTTATTAGAAGGAACCATTATCACTTCTATATGATGTTATGATATTAGAATAAACAGTTATCACTTCTATATGATGTTATGATATTAGAAGGAACAGTTATCACTTCTATATGATGTTATGATATTAGAAGGAACCGTTATCACTTCTATATGATGTTATGATATTAGAAGGAACCATTATCACTTCTATATGATGTTATGTTATTAGAAGGAACCGTTATCACTTCTATATGATGTTATTGTTATTAGAAGGAACCATTATCACTTCTATATGATGTTATGATATTAGAAGGAACAGTTATCACTTCTATATGATGTTATGATATTAGAAGGAACAGTTATCACTTCTATATGATGTTATGATATTAGAAGGAACAGTTATCACTTCTATATGATGTTATGTTATTAGAAGGAACCATTATCACTTCTATAAGATGTTATGATATTAGAAGGATCCATTATCACTTCTATGTGATGTTATGATATTAGAAGGAATCGTTATCACTTCTATATGATGTTATGATATTAGAAGGAACCATTATCACTTCTATATGATGTTATGATATTAGAAGGAACCGTTATCACTTCTATATGATGTTATGTTATTAGAAGGAACCATTATCACTTCTATATGATGTTATGATATTAGAAGGAACCGTTATCACTTCTATATGATGTTATGATATTAGAAGGAACAGTTATCACTTCTATATGATGTTATGATATTAGAAGGAACAGTTATCACTTCTATATGATGTTATGATATTAGAAGGAACAGTTATCACTTCTATATGATGTTATGTTATTAGAAGGAACCATTATCACTTCTATATGATGTTATGATATTAGAAGGATCCATTATCACTTCTATGTGATGTTATGATATTAGAAGGAACCGTTATCACTTCTAAATTATATGATGTTATTTTAATAGAAGGAACCGTTATCACTTCTATATGATGTTATGATATTAGAAGGAACCGTTATCACTTCTATATGATGTTATGATATTAGAAGGAACCGTTATCACTTCTATATGATGTTATGATATTAGACTGTTAGGTAATTATTGGTGTTGTGAAGCTTTGTAGGGATTGCAAGTTATGACATACAATTGTTGTGGCAGTACATTAAATGTAGGACCCTATATTTGGCAAAAAATCACTTCGTAGCTGTTTTTAGAGCAACAAAAATAAACTATGACCTACAATAACATCTTCTGTTTATTTCACAATGTGCAGGGCACTGTAATAAGGGAGTACAGTGAGGGAAAAAAGTATTTGATCCCCTGCTGATTTTGTACGTTTGCCCACTGACAAAGAAATGATCAGTCTATAATTTTAATGGTAGGTTTATTTGAACAGTGAGAGACAGAAAAACCAAACAAAAATCCAGAAAAACGCATGTCAAAAATGTTATAAATTGATTTGCATTTTAATGAGGGAAATAAGTATTTGACCCCCTCTCAATCAGAAAGATTTCTGGCTCACAGGTGTCTTTTATACAGGTAACGAGCTGAGATTAGGAGCACACTCTTAAAGGGAGTGCTCCTAATCTCAGCTTGTTACCTGTTTAAAAGACACCTGTCCACAGAAGCAATCAATCAATCAGATTCCAAACACTCCACCATGGCCAAGACCAAAGAGCTCTCCAAGGATGTCAGGGACAAGATTGTAGACCTACACAAGGCTGGAATGGGCTACAAGACCATCGCCAAGCAGCTTGGTGAGAAGGTGACAACAGTTGGTGCGATTATTCGCAAATGGAAGAAACACAAAAGAACTGTCAATCTCCCTCGGCCTGGGGCTCCATGCAAGATCTCACCTCGTGGAGTTGCAATGATCATGAGAACGGTGAGGAATCAGCCCAGAACTACACGGGAGGATCTTGTCAATGATCTCAAGGCAGCTGGGACCATATACACCAAGAAAACAATTGGTAACACACTAAGCCGTGAAGGACTGAAATCCTGCAGCGCCCGCAAGGTCCCCCTGCTCAAGAAAGCACAAATACAGGCCCGTCTGAAGTATGCCAATGAACATCTGAATGATTCAGAGGAGAACTGGGTGAAAGTGTTGTGGTCAGATGAGACCAAAATCGAGCCCTTTGGCATCAACTCAACTCACCGTGTTTGGAGAAGGAGGAATGCTGCCTATGACCCCAAGAACACCATCCCCACCGTCAAACGTGGAGGTGGAAACATTAAAATGCAAATCAATTTCTAAAATTTTTGACATGCGTTTTTCTGGATTTTGTTGTTGTTATTCTGTCTCTCACTGTTCAAATAAACCTACCATTAAAATGATAGACTGATCATGTCTTTGTCAGTGGGCAAACGTACAAAATCAGCAGGGGATCAAATACTTTTTTCCCTCACTGTATATATTCTACAATCTACTGACCTAAAAAGTATAGATATGTGTAGTTCTGTCTGAGCCTCTCTCACCCACCCTGATGTTTTCCTCTCTCCTCCAGTTCCTGCTGATCTTCAGGCGAGCAGCAGCAGGCGAGCTGCAGGAGGAGAGTGGTCTGATAGCTCTGGCCAGACTGTCTGAGATAGACGTCTCCACAGAGGGAGTCATGGGGGCACGGGACTTCTTCGAGGCTAAGGTAGGAATGGGATAGAGGAAGAGGAGAGAGAGAGTATGTGTGTGTGTGTGTGTGTGTGTGTGTGAAAAGGGTTGGTTATGTGTCAACGTTATAG